CAACTACTTATCAGACCACACCCAAAACTGGTATCCATGACAACAGTGTATATGTCATAATATTATCTGTTCTATAGTCACGGTGATGTCACAGTGGCCTGGTTATGTCATACACTTTGTAAAACTGCAAAATCCTCACGCTGAACTACTTCAAAGCTTAGTGGGAAGATTTCTTGTTTGACGTGAACACAATTTTTCCTTATTTAGAGTTATGAGATCTAGTGTTGTATTCCTAACACTAAATGTTCCCCTACTTCCTGCCCCTCATGGAACTCCTCCCCCCCCTCCCCCTTGCAGGCCTCAATGGGTTAAACAATTCTTGAATTTACAGCACTGGCGTCCCTCAGTTCTGACGTCGGAGCGGGCAGAAGCTTATAGTAATGGGGGGCTCTTATAGCCTACACAGGCCTTTTCTTCTTTATTTCTTATTTGGGGCTTTCTAAAGCCCCCAGAACCTATATTTGGATTCAAAAGCACAGATTTTAAACCAGACACCAAATGCACCCAGCTTTAGTATATATGAGAACTGGCAATGTGGTCTGAATTTGGCAATTTTCACCAAAACTTGGCTATGTGGACAAAATCCGGTGTTTAACAAATAACCACACCAGGGTTATTCACTAGATCAGAGTGTAAATTGTTGGGACTATAGTGTATAAATCGAATTTACGTCAAAATAGCCACAACGTAAAATACCCAGCTATGTTTTCAGTTTGGCAGTTTGAGCACACAATTCACTCTGAATTCCCACCAATCCACACTTTGGTGAATAACCCAGTCGGAGTTTCTCTCTTGTCCAGATTCCCCTGCAATTAGTTATTTAATGCTCTTGTACTGAAGATTTGCAGAGTTACTCATGGAGAGAGTTATTCACTTAGGGAGAACAAGTATCAGTCTATGCAGTCAATGTAGGTGGGCTCTAAGAGGTTGTACAGTGCCTAGATAGTCTGATAGAAACAGATTCACGATTCAGCTGGACACAATTGTTACTTTTGTTATATGCTCTACACCAGGGATAGGCAACCTTTGGCACTCCAGATGTTGTGGAGTACATCCCCCATAATGCTCTTACACCCATAATGCTGGCAAAGCATCATGGGAGGTGTAGTCCAAAACATCTGGAGTGCCGAAGGTTGCCTATGCCTTCTCTACACATATGTGCAAGGCTTCCAATCTCGAATGCAATGCTGTGCTAATGAGTATTTTTCAGAGATGTTCCATTTCTGTATCAATTGGTATACTCAACTCGCTGTATACATTGTTTTGTCCAAATTGGACATTTTCAGGGAGGGATTTGTATACATGTAAATAGTATCTATGCTTTTTCTCACTTTCCTAGTCATCTACACCTTCTCTGTTTATTTCCCCTTTTCGATGGATAATTATGATTTTATGAACATTTAATGAAAGTGATGTTTTTAAACCCATTATGCAGTTTTGGGAGTTTTGCCCAGAATACAGATTACCCCTTTTTGTTCATATATTGATTAAATAACCTTGAGTAAGGCCCAGTATTTTTTTTGGACCAATTTCTTGGCTAACCTGCAAAGCCTTCTAGTTTCTAGAAATTAAGAGTGGAAGGGAACAATGTGCAGTGCGCACTGAAGACACATACATTTTGCACAGTATTGACATTGACAGTACAGAACAGTGTCATGAGTTCCGGAAGTGTAACTATCCCCCAGCACACAATGCAAATATCTCCTTTCAAGCTGTAACACTGGACTGGACGTATAGTGCTGCCAGATCTAAATGTAAGCTTAGCCCTAACCCTACCCTTCTCTGAAAAATGCATGAAACCAGAATCATATATTGGAGGAAAGTCATGTCCATCATGGTGTCCTGAAGGCATTTCTTCTCTTCAGGCTCTTGTTTTATTATGACGTTCCCATAATACACACTTAATTGTTATATATCTGTATCACTTTAGTGTTTTGTGCACCTTTTTGGTTTCACAGATTTTCTTTGCTCTGTGTTAGAGTTGAGCGAACCCGAACTGTAAAGTTCGGATTCGTACCGAACATTAGGTTTTTTGGACTCCGGACCTGAACACTGACCTATCACTATATGTTCGGGTTGGAGTTTGGTGTTCGGCGATTTAATGGCACGTTTTCAAAGGCTGCAGGGCAGCCAATCAGCAAGCGTTTGACTCGTGTGCCCTTAGAGGCCATCACAGCCATGCCTACAATGACATGGCTGTGATTGGCCAGTGCAGCATGTGACCCAGCCTCTATATATAAGATGGAGTCGCGTAGTGCCGCACACACATGCAGTCTTATTAGTGTAGGGAGAGGATGCTGTAGCTGATAGGGACAGCTTAGGAAAGAATTCTGCAAACTAGTACATTAGTGGGGTGGGGTGCACTTCATATCTGAGAGTCAAATAGAAGCTTAAAATACCGCAGTTACATCAGAGTTTTAAAAAGTAAAAATGTTTTGGTGCTAAATAGTACATTTGTGGGGTAGTACATTAGTGGGGTGCACTTCATATCTGAGAGTCAAATAGAAGCGTCAAATACTGCTGTCACATTGCAGTTTTAAAACTTAAACTTTTTGGGGTCCTAAACTGCTAAATAGTATTTTAGTGGGGTGCACTTTATATCTAAGAGTCAAATAGAAGCATCTAATAGTGTGCTTACAGCGCAGTGGTAAAAATTCTTATTTTCTGGGTGCTAATCTGCTAAATAGTACATTTTGGGGCGTGCACTTCATATCTGAGAGTCAAAAAGAAGCATCTAATAGTGTGCTTACTGCGCAGTGGTAAACATTCTAATTGTTTTGCTGCTAAACTGCTAAATAGTATATTTTGTGCGTGCTCTTCATATCTGAGAGTCAAATCGAAGCATCTAATAGTGTGCTTACAGCGCAGTGCTAAACATTCTTATTTTATGGGTGCTAATCTGCTAAATAGTACATTTTGGGGCCTGATCTTCATATCTGAGAGTCAAACAGAAGCGTCTAATAGTGTGCTTACTGCGCAGTTGTAAACATTCTATTTGTTTTGGTGCTAAACTGCTAAATAGTACATTTTGGATGTACTCTTCATATCTGAGAGTCAAATCGAAGCATCTAATAGTGTGCTTACAGCGCAGTGGTAAACCTTCTTATTTTCTGGGTGCTAATCTGCTAAATAGTACATTTGCGGCCTGCGGTGCACTTCATATGTGAAAGTCAAATAGAAGCGTCAAATACTGCTGTCACATTGTAGTTTTAAAACTTTAAATTTTTGGGTGCTAAACTGCTAAATAGTATTTTAGTGGGGTGCACCTCATGTCTGAGAGTCAAATAGAAGCGTCTAATAGTGTGCTTACAGTGCACTTGTAAAAATTCTAATTTTCTGGGTGCTAATCTGCTAAATAGTACATTTTGGGGCCTGCTCTTTATATCTACAAGTCATGCTACAACAAAATTAAACAAGTTTTAAAATATGTATGGGCCAACCAGGGGCTGTAAACAACCAAGTTTTACTGGTTACATTCATGACTACACAGTCTAGTGAACAGGACATTCATGTAGTGTGTTCTTTTTAAAAAAAAATCATACAGCATCATTTCATGTACTTTTCAGATGTCATATTGTGAATTACCAATTTTTGCATGGCCTGATTTTTTTTTAAAAAAAGTGCAAAATAAGTGTTATTGTGATCACTTCATATACAGAAGCATTAATATACATTTCTATATTGTGTAAAGACACAACTACAAAGTTAAAAACCAAACACCAAAACAACGTGTCAGACAATCTACCTGTGCATGGCTAGTGTGATACAATAATTCTACATCTTAAAAATGCAATAACCCACAGAAGATGGGCGAGAATTTCTTTTGCAAATGGAACTTTGATTCGAATTTACTACATCGGTCACTTGTAATATTGTTTCACACCTACAACACTTGTTACACAGATCTAAGTGATAGAAAACAGATTGATATTTTCTACACTAGAAACTACCAGATAACCAGCTGCTATATTTAAACCAGTGATCAATAGATAAGAGGTACTTCAACAATATTGTAATTCTGGGGCAACACCCTCACAAGTCAAACTGAGAGGTCAGTTTATAGGGAAAACTGTTGCCTGGATACAATTCTAAAACAATTTTCATATGTCCTTTGCAGACTTTACATGCTGGAAAAACACAGGTGTCAACTGCTATGGCTTTCTGCAGTGTGCATACCGGCAAGGAGGGCTTTGTTGAGGAGTGGGTGGAAGATGATGTGGAGGATGATGAGGTCCTAGACCCCACATGGAATCAAGGTCATGCGAGTGACTTGTGCAGTTTGGAGGAAGAGGCGCTGGTCGCACAGAGGCACCAGCACAGCATAAGAGGGAGCAGGATGCAAAAGTGGAGCGGCTGTCCCCTAGCGCTCGTTGGCATGTATTAGCTCGAGAACTACCCGTTATCCAAGTAATACATGAAGCGATCAAATGATCCATAATAGAGTTAAGCGTACTCAAACTGCAAAGTTCGGGTTTGTACCAGATTTAACGATCCATTCGTAGTTTCACAGTGAGGTGGGCAGTCCGGTGACCAGGACCCAGACACTGTCTGGGTGGCGGTAGGACTACCGGGACCCAGTATGTCTGATTTTGAAGTTAGGAGTCACAGTGTGGAATGGATTAGCAGGGTCTGGTGCAGGCCACATAACAGGACCCTGATGCCGCTTCAGTAAAAAAAATAACTGGATACCAGAAACCATTATCAGACTGATCCGCAACTTGGAACAGGATGTAACATTCACTGTAGCGGCTGTGCGCGCTTTTGGCGTTGACACCCTGCTGCTGCTCGCCTGTATGCGCTGCAGCGTAACTTCGGCCTTCCCGATCACCGCCTCATGAGATTGTGCGAGCAACAGCAGGCAATAGTGGAGTTTCAGCTGCAGCACGCACGGGTCAGTGGCTCTGCACCAGAATTCCCTCCAATTGATCAGAGTTAAAGGATTTCAAGTGGACTCATTACAATTACAGGGCCTCTAAAGAGTCCTGTATTGTTATTTGTCGTCACTCCCGTCCCGCGTCGGGAGTGGGTCATTTGCGCGCCTGCTACCTTCCTTGCAAGTGGTAGCTGTTTCTCAGGGTCCCTGTAAGGAATGGAACCCTGATTCCCCGTTACCCGTGGTCACCATGGTAGGCGCAGAAACTGGCATCGAAAGTTGATATGAATGACATCCGCATGCAGAATCGCCACCACAGGGATGTGCGATTGGCCCGAGGTTCTCTAGAGTCAATAAAGTGCCTGCGCAACTATAATGTCAACAGCTACTCTGCAGAACAGAGTTGTCTTTTTTTATATGTCCCAATATTTTGGGGGCTACCCCAATTAAAAATAAATAAATAAATAAATATATATATATATATATATATATAAAACAAGAGGGGGTTGGCTGCACTCACCTTAACATGCATAAATGGGGGTGCTGCTGGGGGCCAAATAATATAAGACACAAGATCCAGCGCAGTGAGTGCGCTGGATCTTGTGTATTATATATATATATATATATATATAAACAGTGTAAAAAAAACAGCTACCTGATCCTCATCCTCCACCGCCACGGTCACCGCCTCCTCAACCTATGGGTCACTTAGTATAAACTAGGTACACATTAGCAGAGGCTTGTGAATGCCTTTTCTCCATGCATCAGGAGTTGAGCTCAGTTTGAACAATGAAAGAGAATACCTTGCACTCCAACCCTCTCTCAAATGGATTATTCTGGTGATCCTCCTGACAGCCATGCTTTAGATTTTGCTTTATGTTCTTCCAAAGCTAAAATCAAAGATTCCATCTAGTGCTATTTTATGGCCCAGCTGTATTTTTAAATGTTATGTTATTTTAAGTGATTTCCCTATCCACATTTGTTTGCAGGGCACTTGTCCTACTCTTACCCCCATTTTACTTCCTTTTGCAGTTCTCTTGCCCTTTCCAGGAGTTTTTTAGAGGCATTTTTGTGGCCAAAAGTTCGGGTCCCCATTGACTTCAATGGGGTTCGGGGTCGGGTCAAGTTCGAGCCCGAACCCGGACTTTATTTCAAAGTTCGACCGAACCTGCCGTACCAGAACATCCAGGTGTCCGCTCAACTCTACTCTGTGTTCTAAGGTGACTAGTTAGTCACTTGACACGGACAGTTACTTTTTAGTAATACCTTTATCTCCAAAAGCACGTAATTCTAGATTTGAAAAATCAGTTTTGATTGAGTATAAAATGTCAATCTCATATCATTCTAACTACCGTAATGTAATTTTGCATACATAGCAATCTAGATTGAAAAGAGACATCAAGTCCAACATTTCATAAATTATGATCATCCATCCAGTCTCCAACTAAGCATCCCAGATATATCATGACGACTCTGTGGAATGAATTGCTGCCCTGTTTGCCAACACTGAAGCTGTGATTGCTGTCAGATCTGTAAATAAACAGGTGTTATTCTGATAAACGGCCCCCTTCACTCACCCAGTAACATTATAATACTGACACAATAGCGTTGAAGCAAAACAACAGATAACGATAGGACCTTTTTTGTTGCCAGTTTTTTTAATACACAAACAATGTAATTAATAAGTGATCTCAAGCGCTCAGTGAACATATATAGCACAACGTAGGAGAGCAGAGAAGGGAAGTATCAATATTGTTCACAATTAATGTATCCTTATATGGAAACTGGATGGACATATCCTGGATGTGGACATTTTCTGTAATAATATAACACTGACATTATTGAAAACTATTTTAGCCAAAAAACAAACAAACCAATAATTGTCCTTTGCATCAATGCACACATCCATTGGATTTAATAACATATGTACACAGTAAAAATCTTCCTGCACCTGTAATACTACTGCCCGGGTAATAAAAAAAAGATTAAGAAAAAGTCATCCTGAATTATGAAAGTTTCTTTATTGTAATTATTTTAGTCTGTAGACATATTTTGGTGAGTTTCAGTGACATTTGTTCTATTAATCTTAGAGGGTTACGGACCATTGAAGGTTAGGCCTTCTGGGCTAATATTCTGGACCATAGGAATTATTCAGAAAATGCCTCCGGGGGTTGTGTTATGGATTAAAGGGTATTTTTCTGAGGATTGGGCTTCAAGAAGTTATGTGCGTGAAGTCTCCCTTTGTCAATGTACGATAACATAAGAATCACTGGACAATTGTCTCACTATAGTTAGTCTAATATATATATAAAACCAAGACATTGATGTTGTGGCAGTCTTATGCAATGTATGGTCATTTCCTGTAACTAAAACCGCTATTATTTTTTGCCTAGATGAGGTGTTTTTAAATAAATGCATTACATTTTGTAAGACTTGAAATTGTTGTTTAGTGGATAAGAGAGAGTGCGCTGGATCTTGTGTCTTGTATATAGTTAGTCTAAGTCAGGGCATCTTAGTAAAGAACTCCTTATATTAATATAATCTGCTGGATCATTGATCCATGTGGAACGATTTTATTTTACAGTCACTGTCACGTTTCATTCTCTTTTCACTGTTTACTTTTACATTCTTACAGTATTGTGAACTACATCTCCCATAATATTCTTACAGTCATAATGCTGGCAAAGTACCATGGGAGATGTACTCCATAACATCTGGAGTGCCATAGGTCGCCTATTCCTTAACATCTACATGTTTACCAATATTTGAAGAAAAAGTACAGTTCTGATATGTTTAATGTACATGTTATCTTGGGGCAGATATGCAGGATTAGATACATATTATTCATTCTTTGGTTTAAAGGAACACTCCAAGCACTATAACCACTACAGTGCGCTAACCTCTGGCAACCCCCAATGGAAATAGTCAAACCATTTTAGAACCGGTCCCCACCTCCACCGAAAGCTCGCTGTCTGAGCCAAGTCTAGCAGTGCAGGGCTTAGCTCATTGGCTCAGCCTTTTGTAGTGGTTATGGTGTTCTAACTGTTTCTTTAAAGTCTAGAGGTTCCCAAAGATTAACATATAATTATTTCCACAAATATTGCAGGTCCGAGTTTCAAATTAAAGTTTTGCATGGTCAGCGTGGAGCATCCATGTTTCCCTAATGACATATAGACAATAAATAATAGATGCTCAAAGAGATCATCCAGCGTCAAATATCGTCTTCTGCTGTATTTATTCTTCATGATCCTCAAGTTCTGAAAAAAAAAAAAGAGGGAAAACCCCGCACAATACATTAATACTTAGTAAATACTTCAAACATCTAATGACATTAAGACATATGCAGTTGACTTTTTGATTATTCTAATGGTTTATCCAGATAATGCATTAAACTATTTGCATTTAAAAAAAATAAAAAAAAAATCTCGGCCAATCTTATTTCCTTTAAAACGTTCTGCAGTAGAGTTATTCAACACTCATATGTGTAGTATGTTAATTATCAAATGTGCTTATTTTCCCATTCGTTTAATAGGAAATAATGGGAGCCACTATGGGTATGCAACATGATCTCAAAATACATTTGACAAAGAACAGGAACTGCATGTGTAAGTACAGTACATCTACTCTATAAAATTACATTCTCTATAAAACGTCAAGTGGTTTCCACTTATTTGTATACTGACATGGTGTGTATTCATTTAGATAGTGTTTTATACCTTATCATTGTCTCAAGACATTCTCTTTGGAGTAGAGGAAGTAAAGTGGAGTAATTGGAGTAATGGCACAAAATATGCATGTTTGATCATGCAAAAAATAACAGTTTGAAGCGTCACTGATTACTAATATCAAGTACGAAATCTTATCCCTTATTGTTTTATTCTGTCATGATGCTGTTTTGTGTAGCAACATTTTGTATTAGCTATTGTCAATCACTTATATAGTAGTTATCCAACAATCCAATAAATCATGTCCTGATTTATTGTTTCAGAAGAAAATTAATCTCTAAAGACAATCTGCCTTTTGAGATTAATTATCTTGCAAAACTATCAGTCTGTAACCGGAGCTCATCCATCTTTAGATATTGATTTCAGCAGTTTCACTGGATAATTTGTCAAAAATGGCGAATCATTATTTTTCTGGGTTATGTAATTGGAGGGTTTTTTCAAGATTAGTATTCTAGAACCATACTTCTTGGTATGAACCAGTTCCTGCCCTCCATCGACTCTTATTTAAATTGTGCCTTTGTGTTAAATATTTCCATTGATCTTTGATGTGACAGTCTTTCTGAAGACTACATGTCCTACATAAGGCTAATTCTGGTCTAGTGCTTCACAGAAATTCTTGTTTAAATGTGGTTTATGGTTTAAAGTTGAGTTTAAAACTAAATTTTTACATCTATTTTTTGTTAAAGCCAAACTGAGAGTTCTATATTAACATGTCACAGTTCTTAAAAACTAATAGATAAAAATAATAGAGAAACCAGATCTACGTGACAAATGTTCTGTAAAAAGGAACGAAGCCTTTTTGATATTATACAAGTCTTCCAATAATTTCCATCTCGGGAGCTCATAACAAAAGAGTAGTCGACAGAATTTTCAAATATCTCTATATCTGAATAAAGTAGCTAGCTACAGCTTTATAAAATAAATGGAAATCAGAGCTTTAAATCAAGTTATGTATCTTGTTTGCTTTTATTTAAAAGCAACTTCAAGATATTTCAAACATATCCTATTGCACTGATAATAATCACCATATTTGCACAAATATTCCATATTAACCCGAACATCAGTGCCATAACTTAACAGGAACAAAAATATCAACATTATCACTCAATAAAAACAGCATATCAGTGCCATCACTCAACAGGAACAAGGACACAAGTGCTATCACTCAATAGGCACCATCATAACAGTAAAAACAGAGGGGAAGAGTCTGTGCTTAATAACAGAGAAGAAAGCAGCAACCCTAAAAAGGGAATCCCTCAAGACCCTTGGTAGGATAGAAAGAAAAAGAGGAGTTAAGGGCTGCGCTATTGTACAGAGAACAGTACCATAAAATAGAAACCAATTGGTTGAGGTGTATAATCGGCAAGTGATAGAACCTGGGTATAATAGTTTATGGTACTGTTCTCTGTACAATAGCGCAGCCCTTAACTCCTCTTTTTCAACCATCATAACAGTGTCAACACTTAATAGAAACCAGCATATCAGCACAATCACTCAATAGGAACCAACACATCCGTGCCATCACTCAATGGGAACCAGCATATCAGATACATCACTCAACAGTAACCAGCACATCAACACTATCACTGAATAATAACTAGTATAATAGTGCCAACACTCAATAGGAACCAGCATATCAGTGGCATCACTCAATAGGAAACAGTACACTAGCATCATTATTCAGTAATATTCTACTTTAACGATGGCCACATTTTTAAAAATTGTTTTTAGTTATTTCTAGAAACAAATAATTTTAGCCAATTTGAATAATTCTATTTATTAAAAATGTTATGGGTTTCTAATAAACAAACAATGTCAAATAACTGTTTGTTGTCAGCCTGGTTAATAGCAAATATATAATCAAGCAAATTATAATCTGTTTTTTATTTTTTTTTATTTTGGGTTTGTTAGGGTTTTTTTTTTTGACATGTGGATCTCAGATCTAAGTAAAATCTCAGATCATTTGCCTGCAAGAGCAGACCATGGTAATTTAGGTGATTAGTAAGACATCCACACTCAGTTTCTCAATTTCATACCTGCTCCACTCTTTCTTCCTCTCCAAGGGGATAAATTAAGTGCAGGGATACTGGAACAGTTAAGAAAATTGCTTGGAAATGTGTTAGCAACAAAGACATTCCGAGGAACTTGTGTGATCTTTGTAGTGTCACAAATTATCCGTGACATTGTCACTCTTTCTATAGCATTCCGTTGAGCTGCTGTGAACTGATTCGACCTCTCATAGTAAAAGCTGAAATGAGAAATAATGTTGATAACTAAATATATTAAACAAGCTGTCTCAATGATAAAAAACAATATTACCATTTACTAAGAGAAGCCAGCTCCATTATAAAATATTCTTATAATCCAGACTGTCAGCAGAAGCTGAGATTGCTACGTTTTATGGACAAAACATTTCATTCACAACATTAAGTCCTGAGCAATATCACTTGTGAAATAGTGTTTACGTGACATCATTAGATTAATTTAGGGCACAATCATGGATTAATTAAACAGCATGTGCAAGAGACTTCAAAAGATGGTACGAGATGAAGCTTTGAAATGATAAAATAGTCCCTACCTGCTGGTTGTATGACAGTGGGCTGCTGGGGTTTTTTGGAGAAAAACACTTAAGTCCTAACTCTATCTCTCAGACTATCATCGGTTTTTTTTATAAGTAAGAATGTAAACTAGAGCTGATGAGTGAGAGAATGACAGAATGTGTAACAAAAGCATTGTCATAGTGTAAATCAGGCTTCCCCAAACTCTGGCCCTCCAGATGTTGCTGAACTACAACTCCCATGATTCTATAAATGAAATAGATAGGCTGAGAATCATGGGAGTTGTAGTTCAACAACATCTGGATGGCCGGAGTTTGGGGAAGCCTGGAGTAAATTAAGGTCTTTAGAAACATGAGATGGGATTTTTAGTCTAAAAAATGTGAGGGACGGTTTATGGATTGGCAGAGATGAGAAGAAGATGAAGAAGAAAAAACTGGATGAATTCAATTTACAGAGTCATTTACAATGGTATGTGTCAGAGAACTATGAGCAAAGGTGAGTAATCTGGAATAGCTAAGGCAGGAAGAAATAATATAAGCTTGTTATTGATTAACTTTATTAGTTACCTGTCCCCGTCACGTGTCCTGCGGAACTGGTCTCCGATCAAACAGGCCAACAGCTTACCCACTCTCCCATTATTGACCAGAGGTTCAGCAACAGCACCTGTCCATATGTCAATATTGTCCGCTGTGCCATATTGAGCTATCAATTTCTGAGCCAGTTCAGTATTACACATCACCACAGCCAATTCTTTGACATTTCTCGGCTGGGAAAGTCCACAAACTCTTCTGAAGTCATTGTACCCTACAAAAAATACACTAATCAGTCACAAACACAGTTACCTGAGCTCATTACCTGAAATAATGTGTGTGCGTGTGACAGCTAATGCTGCTATTGAAAAAGCCATCAAATATCAAACAATCTTTTTCACATTTCAAATTTTTTTTTAGGAAACGTGAAACGTTCTGTTGTTTCCCTGAGATAGTGGAAAATCTATTTTTATACTTTGTTTTTGAAACGTTACCCACACCTCCATTGGCTGAAACTCACACAGCCTCCCTACACGGCCTTGGAAAAGAAGTCGAAAGCTTTTAGCTTACCGTATTGCACAATATGTGGAAGGCAGCCACCAGAGGCATGTCACCCTGCAATGTAAACATTGTCGCTCCTGAAAACCAGCATTGTTTTCAGTTGTTGGTTTAAAAAGACAGAGGTCTGGCACCTGGACCACTTCATTAAAAAGTGTGGATGCCTGTAGAGACCCTTTAGAGAAAAACCCTTAGATTATGGTGAAACAAACACAGATCGCACAATTGCCTTTGTCCTTAAGGGGGCTAAAGTTTGATTAACAGAGTAGGAGATAAGAACTTCTTGTCAGGAATAGAGATACCCTAACACCATGGCTGGCGAATCCGTTAGGCAAATTAGGAATATGCCTAGGGTGCCAGAATGCACTTAGGGCCACCCAGTGTGTATGTCTATGTGTGTGTCAGTGTATCTATATGTAGTCTGTGTGTATCTGTATGTTCTTGTGTGTATCTACATGCGGTCAGTGTGTATCTGCATGTGTGTCAGGTAGTGTATTTGTGTGTATCTATATATAGCCAGGGGGCCCAAGTAAATGCTTGCCCAGGGTCCAATCAAAATTAAAGATGGCCCTGGGCACCCACCAGGATGTTTCTTGGTGGGTTGCCCCTCTCTTGGGCCGGAGCACTTTGGGGGGCACCGAGAGGAGCCCTGTCACAGGGGTTCCAGGAGGTGTCCATTTGACCACCTTAGGGTGCCCCCAAAGCTGTGCTTTAATCAGTATGGCAGAGCAGGCATCTGCTTACCTTAATGATAGATGCCTGCTTTGCAGATAAATGCTGGAGGAAAGGGAGAAGGAAAAGGCAGGCAAGAGTGGGCGGCAAGGAAGGCTGTTCTTACAGCTTCTCACTCCTCCCTTGCGCGCCCTCTGTGATGCTGAGAGACAAAATATGACGTCATTCCGGCCCCGGCATACTAAACAGCAGGTGGGAGGAGTGAGGAGCTGCCCCACACTGGACCCAAGAGAGGTAGGAAGGCTGGATGGGCCTCAAAAAATAAAATTGTTTGTGAGTGTTTGACTGAAAGTGAGTGTGTGTCTGTGTATGTGTTTCTGTCTGTGAGTGAGTTTATGTATGTCAGTGAGTGTCTGACTGTGAGTGTGTGTGTGTCTGTCAGTATGTGTGTCTGTCAGTGGGTGTCTTTTAGTGACTGTGTGTCTGTCAGTGAGTGATGTATGTCTGTCAGTGAGTGTGTCTGCCAGTGAGTGAGTGTATCTGTCAGTGTGTGCTCATCTGTGCTAGTCTTATTATAAATTAATTTCAACAAATGCATTGAATGCAGCATTTATTTACAGCGCTAAATTATGTATTCAATGTACAATGTATGCATTAGGCAATTTGTGTGTATGGATGTAGGTATTAAGCAGTATGTGTGTACAGATGGATGTATTAGGCAGTGTGTGTATGGATGTAGGTATTAGGCAGTATGTGTATATGGATGCATGTATTAGGCAGTATGTGTGTATGGATTTATCTATTAGGCAGAATGTGTGTTTATGGATGTACGCACTAAGCAGTATGTGTGTATTAGGCAGTATGTGTGTATGGATGTAGGTATTAGGCAGTGTGTGTTTATGGATGTAGGTATTAAGCAGTATGTATGTATTAGGCAGACCTAACTGAAAACCATATGGCAAAATTTAGGCCAAAATAGCTAATCTAGAAGAATTCTCCAATTCGGCTGCAGTCACAGCTGTTTTTGCTTAAACTTTGCAATTTGGTTTTCAACTCACTGCAATTCAGAATTTAGTGAATAAACCTCTGTGAGATTGTATTTGCTTTCATGAGTGCGGCAAAATGGATCTTGCCTAGGGCGGCAGAAATCCTTGCACCAGCCCTGCCTAACACGCAGACCTAAGGGAAACAGTAAAGGTTCATGTACCTTAGAGTGGCCTGGTAAGAACATGAGACAGATATATGAAATGTCTGCAAGCAGACAGAGAATAAACGAGAGACAGGCCAAGGTCAGGATAACAGAAATACACAGAATTGATAGCCAGGCCAAGATCAGGATAACAAGACTAGAAATAACAAACTGAGGTCAGAAAACAGGAAATCCAATACACAATATAAACAGACTCTCAGGTTACTAGAACCACGACAGAGAAAAGAAACAAGAACAACCAGGAAGTATATATACCCTATACTGGGTTGAGATTGGTTACAGAGTACCATGATGTCACAAGCTACATAAAAAAGTGACACATAGGCTGACAGTACAAAATGAGACAATGGGAGGGTTCCAAGTCATAAATGATGTCACAAAGAGGCACCAGGAAGCTAGGGATGGATGGTTGTGCATCAGAACGCAAAAAACACATAATTTCTCTAATCGCACAGTGCAGTGAGAGACAGGTATTGTGACACTTCTAAAGTAAACACACTGTGCTGTAAGATCTGGTTGCACATAAAACCATTTTTGATGTTGGCTGTGTAAGTTACAGCCAGGGGAAGTGTGGCTAGGGCTGCATAAACAGAAACCAAAGTGATTTAACCCCCAAATGGCAGAGAATTGAGCGAGGAGACTGCAGGGGCATGATCTATACATAAAAACTGAAAAAAGAAAATAATTCTATAATAGAATAAACTGGAATAGTATTGTGCAATGTTTTTGCACAATAGAAACAATATTATTATTATTATTATTACACCACAAACAGTTGACCTTATACCTTGATAAAACGTATCCTATTTGCACTTGAACATGCACATGGTATGTATAAGCTGGAATCATTCCAGTGCAGTGACTAAAGGATTTTGGCCTTAGTATTAGACACATGAGGGATAAACTTATACGTTTTACCTGGGAGTCCATGTTCTCTGCCACGCTGCATGTTGATGGCCCCCAGGTCAAGGCCAAGTCGTTTGAAGAGTTCGAAGAGATGTTCACGCAGTTCATCCACCAAAATCTGGTTCTGACGGTTAAGCTTGGCACGATTAGCCATAAGACCACGAAGAAGAGGATCAACACCCCCTACCACAGATAAAACAAGGGGATAATACAATTATTGACTGTAGCAGTGCCAGATTAGTCTTGAGGGAAAACCATATGTAACCTGTAATATATACTTCTTATAGTAAGGCCAGCCTATGTCAATTCAGAGGCTCCAAAGATCTGCACTTTCGGGTTGAACAGCATGCTACCTAATTTTGCAAAAGTGCTGCTTTCACGCACTTTTTAATAACACCTCCTGGTTTTGTGTACTGCCTTTGGGCCTTCTGCACTTCTACTTTTTTGGAGGTGTTCCAATAGCCCTATTATTCTGAGATTCCTAATGCATCTTCCTTGCCTCCCAGAATTTTGCCATCAAATAATAATAAAGGTGATTGTTTTGAATGGCGTGCCTGAACATTTCATAATCATCTGGTAATTAAAGAATTGCAAAAAAAATATGTTAAAGCACAAGTGTCCATGTTACCTTCTCTCACAACTCTCCAGGTGTTAAAGAATGTTAGGTGAAGAGGAACAGGAGGCAACTGTGATGAGGTCCTGTAACCGTCCACCAGCCGATAAATGAAGGGTTGGATCATGGTGTGGCCCATCCGGAATGCTAAACTGAAGACGTTTGATGCTCCAGGGTTCACACTGTCATTATAAGCCCGGTACCGTGGCAACACCCGAGGCGTCTCAGTACCGAGCAGCAATGGAGCCCAGTCCTTGTAGTTGATTTTCTGCCAAAGAAAGCATATTTACATAGGTAAGAGCCACCGAAAACAGAGTATGAAATAATGTGTGGTTTAAAGTATTGTGTTGTTTGTTTTCGTTTTAAGTATAAGTACTTAAGTTTATAAGTATAAGCACATTATTTTATCTGCTGACACATAACTCAAATGACCAACCCCGAACACTAAAATAAAATGTATTGGTCACCAAAAGCCTTGATGATGTTTTCCTATCTATGGTGACATAACATTTAAAGGGTTACTCTAAGCATCATAACCACTACAGCCTGATGAAGTGGTTATGATGCCAGGAGTAACCTGGCCTGCGTTAGCAGAGGTTGGCCCCCTTATCTGGGTCCCTGTGAGGCTCCGATACTCCCTGGTGGTCCAGTGACGGCATTCTATCGTCTATCTTATGTAGAGCTGGTAAAGTCAAAAACTGTAAGGTGTCAACATTTATTGGCTGGCTGATGACACCACTAAGAAAAGGCCTAGCACCTAAGGGGTTAATCAGATAAACTGCCATGTTTACATTGCAGGTTTAAGTCCTCCTCTAGTGGCTGTCTTCCAGATAGCCGCTAGAGGAGCTGCCCTCCCTAACTGATTTTATGCATGCACTTTAGCTTCCCCAGATGCCGTGACGTAGCGGAAGGTTGAGACCTAGGCAGCGTTGACTGATCCCATGTGATGTAATTAAAGTATAGAAGGGTATTTAACCCTTTACTCAATGAGGGGGACCTACAGAAATAGGGACAGGTTAAGGATACAGGTTTTCATTCCTAACACCATAGTGTTCTTTTAAGCTGTAATTAGAAAAAATAGGATGCGTTTTACTTGTGTACTTAAAATGATAACGGTTATAAACATTTTTAATATTTTCATATCTTTATGTTATAATGTACCATCTTTAGGTATAGCCCAGCCAATGCTTACTATTTTGCAACTGTTTTTCAAAATCGCTTTACAGAAAATGCTGTAGGCAAAAAGTACACGAAAGGTAGGTAGGTGATTTCTTCAGAAATGTTAATATACGTGAATAACAAAATATTGAAATTATGGTGTATTATAAATCACATAATATATCAGATATATTAGATAGATTATATTGAGATATTACATTTTTAATGACAGTTACCCTTTAAATGATCTGATTCTTCTTTTAAAGAAATATTGTCTTTGTTTGGGTTCTATGTTATATTATACCTTTTCAAACAGAAAGTATCGTGAAATTTATGAATGCCAATTATCTGATGTCCTGTTGCCTTGAGAAGTAACATTTATGACTTCTCTGTGTGTTGTGCCCAACTGATTCACATTAACAAAAAAAGTTTAATATAAACAGATACTGTCATGGTTAATACAATTAGAATTAAAAATTATTTTTTACGTGCAGGTTTCACTACAAACCAAATCAGTAATATATAGCATTGACCTTTTATTGTTCTTATCCGAGGATGTTTGTAGGAAATGGTTCACCTGTGTAATTGCTCCAATAATTTTTCTTGTCTCCTGGTACAAAACTTCTCCTGACCATCTTGGGTTTAGCCTTCTCAACTCAGTGGCTATACGGTTGTGTTCTCGCACAAAGATTGTATGGAATGCAGTCAGTCCAGGCTGTTCACTTACGCGAGCATCCCCTGATGAACATAATGATACAGGATGAAACTATGCAGGATAAAACTTACCAGGAAAGGTTAAAGGAACTTAACATGTATAGCTTGGAGGAAAGACGAGACGGGGGATATGATAGAAACATTTAAATACATAGAGGGAATCAACACAGTAAAGGAGGAGACTATATTTAAAAGAAACTACCACAACAAGAGGATATAGTCTTAAATTAGAGGAGCAAAGGTTTAAAAATAATTTCAGGAAGTATTACTTTACTGAGAGGGTAGTGGATGCATAGAATAGCCTTCCAGCTGAAGTGGTAGAGGTTAACACAATGAGGGAGTTTAAGCATGCGTGGGATAGGCATAAGGTTATCCTAGACTTAAGATAAGGCCAGGGACTGATGACCGTATTTAGAAAATTGGGCAGACTAGATGGGCCGAATGGTTCTTATCTGCCGTCACATTCTATGTTTATATACAGTTACTGGTCACAATAATGACCAAGAGAAATAATGATTGTATGACCATTTTTGAAGAGCCCTTATGTTCTAGAGCAGGTAACTGGAATTGTATCTAATTGTATTCACAGTGTGCTCTATATATCTGATTCTATTTTATTACAGTGTAGATTGGATTAGACGTATTAGTCCCATAGACAAGATGCCAAGATACCAGACTATTGCAGTATGCAATGATACCTTTTTTATTGGACTAACATAATATTTCAAAGACAAGCTTTCGAGAGATACCTCTCTTCCCCAGGTCTGAACAAATCAATACAAATCAATCTGATAGAGGAGAACACTTAAAACAAATGATGTTAGAGAAGGGGAGGGCGTTGTTTTAAGTTGTTTTAAGTGGTCTCCTCTATTAGATTGATTTGTATTGCTTCAGACCTGGGGAAGAGAGGTATCTCTCGAAAACTTGTCTTTGAAATATTATGTTAGTCCAATAAAAAAGGTTTCATTGCATACTGCAATATTCTGGTATATTCTGATATTTTGGCATATTTTCATATATATATCTCATGGAGAAGCACTGTACCATCAATATATAGAGTGGGAGCCATGCCATGTAGAAGGCTCCATCACACGTGAGTGCAATTTCATTCACTTATCTACAGGTCTATATGTTTCCAAATTTACTACACTATATATTTTAGTTTTTTATTTCACATGTTGGATTATCCACCCGGACTAATAGACATATTGCATATCTTTAATTGGGCTTTGTACCACTCAAGCGCATGGAATTGGAGCAACTTCTGTTTCTTGTAAGTGTGTCTCTTTTACTTCCACAGGCCATTTGAATAATATACTTCACTATATTATCCTCCATTGTCCCATTCTTCTCCATATACCACCTGTGGACACATCAAGGTGCTACTCCAACTTCTCTTGTAACCCTTTGCCGGCTGATGCCAAGGTTGATTTCATATGTGTGTTGCAGGCCAACCTATGGGATTTGCGACTTTTGTGGAAACACTTGGTGCAGTCCCCCTAACCACCCCCCTTCCCTCAACCTGGTACGGAACACTGGTTGTCTCTGCATTCAGAATAAAAATGTATTCCTTGGTTCCTGGTTCTGAGACCAGTCTGCAAACTCTGTATCTGTGTATTAGAGGACATTCTATGGCATTCTTACTGTAGTCAGAGACATAGAAGACCAGTATTCTCTTTTTATTACATTGGATTAGATTGATTTTTGAAGGTGCAAATTAATCAAAAAATTCCATTTCATAACTAATCACATTTTTGTAGTCAGGATTGTAATTTCTACTGACCCTGTTCAGGACTCACCTGCAAAGAAACATGGCAGCCCAGATGTCTTGTTAGTCAGTAGACAGAAGTCTTCTTCTCCTTTGGCGAAGGGCAAGTAGTCAAGGCCATTGTCTTTGAATCTATCATTGACGGCCATTAGGCCGAGTTGGTTGCTATTGTCCCGGAGCTCACTGGCTACTTTGTTGGTGCTGCCATAGACCTGACTGGCATCAACGTAGGATGTTAAAACGTTCATCTGCTCACGTATAGGGGAACCTTTTACACAGGCTGGGGAAGAGCGGAAGAGTGGGATACAGTCTGATGTGCGGATTCGGGGATCATTTGGAGGAATCTGTGAGAGTGAAAAGCAGTCCATTAAATACATGCTAAGAGTTTTCTTACTTAGGATTTTCTCATCATCAAATTTCTAAAGTATATACTAGCGAATACAGCAAATAACTAGTAAAAAAAAATATTATGAAGAAAGTATTTTGCCAGGATGGATGCATTTATATTTCTTGAAAAGTGCCGGTCTGTAAAATATATAGAGAGAGGGACACTGGCCTAATCACACAACAGGGGATAGTTGATTTGAACTGTGGTGGAATGGTAGGTTTACTGGTAAATGTAATTATTCAAATCCAGAATCCAAAATGTATAAAGACAGGCAAAGGGTAGCGAAACTCAAATGAGGCCCCCACTAAAACCCAAAATGAAAATAAATAGGGTTTTATTGTTTGTGTGGATAAGGTGCTGTCATTATTTTGAAGGATGGGCTTACAGCACCAGATACAGAGAGCTATTCATTGTCTCATGGTATTCATTGTTCAGAGGCTTGCAGTGTTGCAGATCCCTGTGCCGCTGCATTGTGAGATCTCTGACTGTAGTTATGGCATCATTTGCAAACTAAATTAATTTGTAATAAACAAATGTAATAAACACGTCATGTATACATAAGTGCAGGTGTGTGTATTTCTGAGTTTGTCTGACATTGTCTACCTGTGTATGTGCCTGAAAGTTTTTGTCTGACCAAGAGTATCCTTGAGTGTGAATGTATGTCTTTGTGAGCATGTGTCTGTGACCTTTGTGTGTGGGGTAGCTGCTTGCGCTGTGTTGACCTTTGTGCATTGTGTTATGGCACAGCTACGTTTCATGTGTGTGTGAAAGATGAATATCTCCAGTTGGTGAGTGTGACAGGGTGAGTTTGACATAGTGAGAAAGGGTTGGGAAGGTGAGTGTGACAGAATAAGAGAGGGGGAGTATGCTAGGGGGGTTGTGACATGGATGGAGGAGGGAGTGTGACAGGATTGGAGGAGGTTAATGTGACAGGGTGAGTGTGGCATAGTTGGGGGTGTGTATCACAGGTTCGGGGTGAATGTGCTATGTTTGGAGGAGGGAGTGTGACAAGATTAAGGGACGTTAATTTAACAGGGTGAGTGTAGCAGAATTGTGGGGGAGAGTGTAACAGGGTTTGGGGCACAGTTGGAGGACAGGATTGGAGGGGTTTATGTGGTAGGGTGAGTGTAGCAGGGTGAAGGAGGTGAATGTGACAGTGCGAGAGAAGGTGAGTCTAGCAGGATTGGGGGATTAATATGATAGGGTAAATACGGCAAAGCGAGCGTCGGTGAGTGTGGTATGTTTGGAGGGGGTGAGAGTGACAGGATTAAAATGGCAGAGCTCTGCCAAGTGCAGAGCTGCAGACCACGTGGTAAGTTTTGCGATCTCCAGTCAGAGCGTTGCCAAGATAACCCGCGGCAACGCTCTTATTGGCTGGAGATTGCGAGACACCTCAGTCTGCAGCTCTCCCTGCGGAGCTGCAGACAGGAGGCTGGCTCTCTGCCAGGACAGGCAGTGTGGAGGGGCCTCGCACCTGGCGCCATACAGAGGAAGCAGCCGGGCCACTTCCTGTGTTGGGTCTGAGGACCAGACATGTCACTCTGCCTAAGGTGATTTAGGCAGCTGCCTAAATTGCCTAATTAGAGAGCCGCCTCTGACCCTTTGTCATCTCATAGAAGGTATCCATGGGTTTAGAGGTTGAAGAAATAATAAAAGTACATTATAACTGCAGGATAATAGGAGGTTCCAGACACTGTGTCACAGTAGCAAATAAAACTGCAAAAAAAATTTCTATGGAACATTCTCATAAACAAGCTGGCGGTCACAAGGATTTTCACCTTTTTTCCGTCTCTTTCTTTTTACTAGAAAAATTCACACCTAAATGTCTTATACATTTTTGACTGCATCACATTGACTTTTGCAAAATGCAAATAACTTACCCTCAGAGGGAAGCAGGGTGGCTCTCGAGCACAGCTGACATCGCAATCAATTCCTTTCAAGAAGGTTGACCTCGCTGGAGTCTCAGGGGCAAGATCAATGTCGTGGTCAATCCACTGTCCCCACTGCATGAACATGAGAGAACGCTGCCTGTCCAATGTCTGCTCTTTTTCTGGAAATTGTATAATCTGATTGGACACTGCTCGTGCCTGTGGGAAGAATAGAGTCAAATCCAATATGGCGTCAAATTACAAAATAAACAAGCTTGCTGCAGGATAAAGAGGTCTGGATTGATATGTTTCAATTCATTTTTTTACACCTCACAAAAATATATTTGTTAAGTATAAGGATATGTAAAAATAATATTAAAAATGCTGGGAAGTGACGTTTTCCGCTTTATTCATATTAGTTAAGCTGACACTTCTTAAAAAACACATTGAAGGACTGCACTCAACCTATTAAAGCCCTGAAGTAAATGTGTTTTTGTTGCATATGTTGAGATGCCTTAAAGCACACTAGTGCAGGCCTCACAATTGCAGTGTTGTAGCGTGGGTTGCCAGAGACCGGGGTAAGGCAAGTATTTTGCCCACTAACTCATTGACTGTTAGCACTCCCCAAGTCTCTTAACAGGCACTTGAATAGCCTCAATCCTCCTTCCATACGGGCCTCGTCTCTATGATGTGTGTGACACTGTTAGTTGCGTTGAGTAACTATACACATTACTTTAGGCGTGAGGTGAATTTTAAAAATTAGGCAAAGCAACTATCAGTGTCTCACACATTACGAAGACAAGGCGGGAAGAGAAGGAGGAGCAAGGCTATACTGGTATGATACCGTTTAATAGACATATTAATAATGACACATAATACCTACTAATGGTGTGTTTTCCCGTTTGGAGACACTGGCGACATCTTCAAATGGGAAATCATACTATTAATAAGCATTATGTAATTCACCGATAAGAATTACATGAGAGCAGTATGGATGTAATTAAGAAGAAAATTACTATAAATTGTTACATGACAATGCTTATTTGCTCCGTCATGTTAAAAAACTGTGTAGAATGTTCGAACATTGGGAGATTTTCTGTCCCCGTGAAGCACAGCGTGAGTGCCTCATTAGACATGCTTCCACTGCAGTAAGGACACTAGGACTGTAATAGTGCTTTCTGCATAGTCCGTCGTTCATGGTGCAGGCCTGCTTAATTGCCAGGCAGCCTGGTGTGCATTCACGCCAGGCTGAAATGCCTAATCTTTGGGCAGACCCTTTCTGGGCGGGCCTTCCCCCTTTGGGCAGCATCAGTGACGTTTCACCAATGTTAGGAGCATATCAGGAGAATTAGAAACCTAATACAAATTGTTTGCAAATTCACAGAACTCATATGTCACAGAGGTGCACAGCTGCTGCACTTCAATATTAAGAAAGGTAACAATAGCTATCAGACGAGTTCCTTTTAGTGAAATCAAAGAATCACAGTAAATCCTAAAGGGCACACAAAATGGTCTCTTTACCAGAGGCAAAGCGAAGCCATTAATTTTTCGATCCTCTGTCCAGCCACGTGGCAGGGATATACCATCTTCATACTGTGCCCTCAGCAAGCGAATGTAGGGCCTGTTGGAAACTCCAAAGTCGGGGAATCTCCTGCAAACACATTGAGAAAACATTCCATGTAAACAAGTGCTGGCAATATTAACTGGGACAGTAAGTTGCGAAGTCATCATGTATACAGGCAGAACATCAGCCAGTCTCAGCAACACATCTTTAATTACTTTTAACGCCTTAAGGGTAATCACAGTCCACACCATTGTCAATTAATCTTGCCCTACATGGAAGGTACTATTTATTTATCATCAACACCTGAGTCCTCATAGCTCTGTTCATTAATACATAGGCAGTAAAATCCATGCCTCAGAAGTGTCTCTAATGACCTGTTTCTCAGGAGAAGATAAATTATCATTGATCCGTTGTAGGTTAAACATGCTTTTCCAATGAATGTGCTTGTAGCCATACAAGGACTAGGCAATCTCAGACCATTGTTTATGGTTTTCTTTTTCTAGTATATGTTTTGTGCAAAAATACCAATAAATAATAAATAAATGCTGGATGAAAAAGTCTTCTCAACTAGAATGACTGGATACAGACATTTTCTATATATATTCTCCTAACGAGCACAATTACAGATATACAGGGTATATCACTTAAGTCCGAATGGCCGGCTGCCCGCAGGGCCATTTGGATAGCACATTCTGGACATTGTTAATGCTATTTGAAAATGGGCCCTGAACGCTCCCGAATTTGGGCCAGATTTCGGCTGTACCGAACGCTGCCGGACGAAAGTTGTACCAAGTAAATTAAACCCAGGCCCTGAGTATTCATATCTTAAAAAAAAACAAAAAACTATTTACCTGCTGGATCACCAGCAACCAGATAGCAAATAGATTTAAAAAAAAAAATCCTTGATGGCACAAGGGTTAATTATGCAGCAGCAGGCCAAAGCTTGCTAGCCAGCCACCACATTAAAAAAGTAAGATAAATAAAAAGGCTATGGGGAATCAAAAATATCTGCATATTACTGTAAGTAAGGACCTACCTATGCCCTAATCTGCGATATGGCAGGTTGGTGCATGTCTACTAAGGTGTTAAATCTAGAGACTGGCCAACAATTTGGGACTTGTGATAAAAAAACAGGGGACATTAGGTCTTCTCCCCTAATTATTATTCTTAGGGCCCCTGTCCACCACCAATGAGTTCCATGCCTTGCATACCTAGTCTATTTTATGCTTATCCCAACCCTACTCACCTGTTATTGCATTCTCCATTGATAGTGCGATAACGACTGTTTGTGCAAGATTTCGGCAAATTTAGAAAAGCACATCCTGAAACTTTATATATGGTATCTAGCTGGTTTGCGGTCAGCACATCTGTCGAATAGAAACAGAATATATTTAGACCATCACATATCCTGATCCTGTTAGCCCTGATCGGTGTAATAATACCATAAGACTGACGAAAGGCATTAGTTCTCTGTGAAACTATCAGGGTTATTCACTAAAGTCAGAATTCAAATTTCAAATTTAAATGCCAGAGTAGCCAAACTGAAAGCATAGCTGACTTGGAGAATTTTTCCAGTTAAGCTACTATAAAGGAACACTATAGGGTCAGGAACACAAACATGTATTTCTGACCCCATAGTGTTAAAAAAAAACTATCCCGGCTCCCCTTGCTCCCCTTGCCTCCCTAAATATAGTAAACGCTTACCTTTATTCCAGTCTGCTGCTGCTGGTTCTGTCCCTGATCTGCCTCCTTGGTTGACATCAACAGATGTAGTGAACTCGGCTAATCACAATGCTTTCCCATAAAAAAGCATTGGATTGGCTGAGCTTGTCAAGGAGGCAGATCAGGGGCAGAGCCAGAAACACAGCCCTGGCCAATCAGCATCTCCTCATAGAGATGCATTGAAATTAGGAAAGTTCAGTGTCTCTATGCAGAGGGTGGACACACTGATTGTCAGTGCTGCTCACTGTGCAGCACTGTCCCAGGAAGCACCTCTAGCAGCCATCTGAGGAGTGCCCAGTGGAGTTATCACTAGGCTGTAATGTAAACACTGCATTGTCTCTGAAAAAAACTGTGTTTAAAAGCATGAAGGGACTCGTTATACTAACCATAACAAATACATTAAGCTGTAGTTGTTCTGGTGACTATAGTGCCCCTTTAACCCCTTAAGGACACATGACATGTGTGACATGTCATGATTCCCTTTTAATCCAGAAGTTTGGTCCTTAAGGGGTTAAACTTACATTTGAAATTCAATTTGAATTCACCTTGAATTATCACTTCAGTGAATAATCCTGTATGACTGACTGATGGTTATCCAACCAAAAATGTTATCGTATTCCTGCTTAGCCAATTATAAAGTGTCCAAATGTATACAGACTTTGAAAAGTTGCACATTTAATAGTGAGCACAATGTACCTTACTAATTCTATTAATCAGCTTCTTTACTTTACAGTTGGAGCTGTTGCCATCCGGGTATTTGATTGACTATTATTTGGAATCTATTAAGTTATATTTTAGGGACAATGTTATTAGTTCAATTAATTCACCTGATAATTCTAGGAAGCGCAGGGCTGTCTTAAACGCGGGGCAAACGGGGCAGCTGCCCCGGGCCCAGTTGCTCCTGAGGGGCCCCAGAGCAGCTGTCTCGTGGGCCCCGTGATTTGAGCAGCTCCCATGGACCTGGCGGGGCGGCTGCAAAGATCCACACCAGCCGCACGCTAAAGAGGGCCCCCGGGTGGCCCATGCACTAAGGGCCACCCGGTGGGCATGTGTCAGCAGGGGCCCGGTCGGGCGCTGTGACACTTAAACAGCGCGACCGGGCCCCTTCCTCTTCGGCAGCCGGCTGGAAGGAAGTGAGTGCCGTGCGTCACTTCCTCCCACCGGAGATCACAACCACGCAGGGAGGGAGGGGAGTTCCAGAGGAGAACTCCCATCTGCCTCAGCCTGCCACTGGACCAGGGAAACCACCCTCCAGAAAAAGGTAAGAAACTGGAGGGTGGCTAAATGTCTGTCTGTGTGCATGTCAGTATGTCTGTCTGTGAGTGTCAGTATGTCTCTGTGTGTCTATGTCTGTCTGTGTGTGTGTGTATGTCAGTATGTCTGTGTGTCACTAAGTCTGTGTGTATGTCTATGTCTGTCTGTGTGTGTGTGTGTGTGTATGTCAGTATGATTGTGTATGTATGTGTATGTCAGTGTGTGTGTGTCAGTATGTCTGTGTGTATGTCTGTGTGTGTCTGTATATGTCAGTATGCCTGTGTGTGTGTTTGTCAGTATGTCTGTGTGTGTGTCAGTATGTCTGTGTGTGTCAGTATGTCTGCCTGTGTGTGTGTGTCAGTATGTCTGTCTGTCTGTGTGTCAGTATGTCTGTGTGTTTGTCAGTATGTCTGCCTGTGTGTCTGTGTCAGAATGCCTTTGTGCGTGTGTCAATAGGTCTGTCAGTGTATGCGTCTGTGTGTGTCAGTATATTTGTCAGTTTATGTGTCTGTGTATTCATGAATGTGTGTCTGTGTGTGTGTCAGTATGTCTGAATGTGTGTCAATATGTCTGCCAGTATATATTTGTGTGTCAGTGTATGTGTATGTCAGTATGTATCTGAGAATGTTTTAATATGTCTGTGTGCGTATGTGTCAGTATGTCTGTCAGTGTGATTGCGGGTTGGGTGTAATTAGAGGATTGGGGGGGAAGGAGCAGGGCCCAGGGGGCCCAAGAAAATGCATTGCCCAGGGTCCTAATCATATTATAGATGGCCCTGAGGAAGCGCCATGGCAATCCATTCATCTCCCATTTTCTAACTACATTTTCTAACAGTGCCCAAACATTCCATTTCCAATTGAAGAATTGACACTGTAGTGGTTATGGTGCCAGGAGTGCACTTCCAGGAAAAGTAGTCAAACTGTTTGTGAACTTACAACTTAACGAGTATCTACCAGATGCCGGTGGTCACAGCCTCCTGTGTACCTGAAACGTCTTCCATTCCATAAGCTCTATTGAGCTAAGCCCTGCACTGCCAGGCTAGGTTAAGTCCTGGGAGCTTAAAGCAGCAAAGGAGGAGGTGACCAGTGGCTTGAAGACCACAGGTAAGTTGTCCAACCATTCACAGATTGAGAGATTGGAGGGTGGCAGTGCACTTCTAGCACTATAACCAACCAGTACAATGCTAGTGGTTATGGTGCTTGAAATGTTCCATTAAAGAGATGATATTTATTAGTACGATGCCTTAATAATGCACATTAGGTCACTATGGATTGCCCCAATAAAATAACAATTTGGGAAGGTAACATGTCCATTTTAACTTGAAACATCATGTTAAAACTGCAGTGGCAGTCCCCCTTTAAGTTTAAGTAGCAGCTTAAAAAAAATTAGCTTGTTTTATAGTAACTACTTTTTTTTTTTTTTTAAGTCTTTAGGCATTTTAAGCAAACAGCTATATCTGGTTATAAACCACTCTGGTAACTCTGGCAGTAAGTATGACACAAGCAAAGTTCTCAAAGTGAATTTCAAATCTAAGGTCATAATTCACAATTTAGTAAATATTTAAAGGAACACTCCTAACACCACAATCACTACAGCTCACTGTACTGCTTATCTTGCCAAGACTCCCTGGCGCCTCCATAATTGACCTGGCACCTCCACTATTGTTTTTGAAAAGTGCTTTTTGTCTGTTGTAAATTGGCTGCCTCACACCTTCATTACTCGCTACTACAAGCTGTGGAGGTTGTTGTGTTTTAGAGAAATTTTATTGTGCAGCTATTTTCAATTTTGTGAGATCTCATTTAATAACAGATAACGATGCTAACAAAATGCCATGTCTCCCAACTATCCTGATTTTAGTAGGACAGTCCTGATATGGGTCCTGTCTCAAAATCTTGACTTTATTCCATGGTGTCCTGCTTTTGGGAATCATTCAATGCACTTATGCTACACTCAGGGCACTGCAGAGAGAACTGACACAGTGCTCCCTGCATGTCCTTCCCTCAGAGGGCTGGCCTTATTGATTGGCACACATTCATACCAATACCAGCCCCTACCACTTTCCAGGCTGGTTCATGGCCCTTTGCATGGTATTGCATGTGAGAGGCTGCTTGTGGAGTTGTGTACGTGTAAATGGATTGTCAGTGGAGTTGTGTTTAAGGAGACCGAGTCTGTTTGTATTATTTGTATGAGGGGGAAGCTTCTTCTGCAGCTCTGTGTATATCTAGCAGTGTGGGTGGCTTCCCTGGAGTTGACCAGGTACAGGTCAAGGGCAGGAGCAACGAAAGCTGCTGTTGGCTGCTCTACTTTTCACAAGTGCGGGGAGGAAGTGATCTGAGATCACTTCCTCTAAGTGCTGCAATGCGTAACTTGAGGATTGTCCCTCACCCCCTTTTTGCACTAGCAGATATCTTAAGTTCCACTGGGACTCCTTATAGGCCTGTGTGCCTCTAGCAACCTTGAGTGCCATGTAAAAACACTTCAAGAGCCATGCATGGCACACGTGTGATAGCTTGCTGGCCCTTGATTTAGTATATCTCCCCTATTATAAATAATAATAGAATAATAAAGCATTATAATAATAGTGTACCTGAGATGTTAAAAGGGTTTTTGTAGATGCTGTGAACCTTCTCCGCCAGAAGTTGAAGGGTGGTCTGCATGTAGTCAGCAGAACGGATATGTGTTCGACTGATGGCCACGGGTTGTTTGAAGAATGCCATGACTTCATGTGGACTGACATTTTTACTTTTAAGGCGCTCCTTGAGACTAGAAATATATATACATACATTAAATTCTTTATGTTTTACTTTAATGATGACTGTATATAATGAAACATATTATAAACAGTACATATAAGACTGGTTGGTTTGCGATCCTGTATAAGACCTGGTTGCTGTTGAAGTCACAAACTGTTATTTTTCTTAGAAGGAAACCTTGAGAATTTTTTATATAACTGTACAAATGAATAAATGTTTAGTAAAACCGTAACCTAACTTTAGATATGGTCCATGCAAGAATCCTGTAACCTGACTTTAGATATGATGACATATGAAGATATATAAGACACTTAAGTCTTAAAGACACAGCGCACTTTAGTGTTTGGTTTATGTGACTTTAGATATAGTCTGTGCATCCTCAGAATCTAGATCAGGCATAGGCAACCTTCGGTACTCCAGATGTTTTGGACTACACCTTCCATGATGCTTTGCTAGCATTATGGGTGTAATAGCATTATGGGGGATGTAGTCCACAACATCTGGAGTGCCGAAGGTTGCCTATCCCTGATCTAGATCTTAGTCTGTGCAGAATGTGTTGGCAGCTGCTCGAGATTGTTAAGAGGGTCTTTCAATATTAAAGGAACAGTCCTATGTAATACAAACCTGTATTCATAACACTATAGCATTCTCCTCTGCATTTATCTTAAGGTACCCCCCCAAAAATGAGAAAAAAAAAGGATTTAACTCATCATTTTTTCCCCCAGCACCAAGATCCAGTCCCTACAGACACTCAATATGCCACTCGATCCGCCTCCTGCAAGCTTCACCCAATCTTTTTTTTTTCATCCAATCCATTGCTCCTCATGGAGGAGCATTGGGGACAAAAGTGAATGCGTGCCCAGCGCTGTGCTCCTCCAATGAAATAGAGGTTAGCTGTGAGAACTGAGTTTGACCTGGTTTTCACATCAGACGTGCCTCTAGTGGCTGTCAAAGGAAGATAGTCACTAGAGGTGTGTTTAACCATGTAATGTAATCGTTGCCGTATCTACTAAATTACATGTTTTGCATTGTCGAGTTGAAACTAGAGGACAACTACATCCAAACCACTCTTGAGATGAATTGATCTGGGTTCCTTTAGTAGGGAATGATTCGAGAACAGTCAGAGCTGCTCAGTAGAAAGTACAGTCTGTGCTGTACATTGCAATACAATAATATATAACTGCTGTGTACCATACTCTTTAAAGGAATACTGGCATCATTTTCATTATTGCTATTTAAAATAAAACATGAGATGCATTATATAATTTGTGTGCATTATTTTGTAATATTAAAGTAGAATACCTCCGTTCTGTGCATGGGCTGGCACTGTGGGGCGGCCATGTTTATAATCCCCTTTTTGTCAGAAGCACAATTTATCCAAACGAACACTGTACAGATAATCTGAAACTAGTTTGCATTTATGAGTCCTGAAATTATTTGCCAGCCCATGGTATCTAAAAATCTAAATTTACACCTTCAAATAGTGCATGGATTTCACACTTCCAAAAAATGACGACCAAAGGTAATGTCACGATTTGGTTAATTTTCAGTCTGGTGCGGTACCTCACAGTTCCACTACCTGTCGGTGGTGCTATTCCAGGCTGCTGTACCCAGACTGAGATCTCGCTCTGTTCCCAGCTGGCCTTACTTTGAGATTAACTTCTCCGTGTTTTGTTGAGTCTCTCCCCTTCCTGTCTGCCAGTTCATTAATGTTAATGTTGTTGGTTTTGTCCTTTTGTCCTAAGTTTCCCTACAGCGCAAGGAACTTGTTGGTACTTTATAAATACTAATAATAATCCAGAGGCCCTTCTGCTACATTCAGTTATCTGTGCTTGTATTTCATTTAACTGTCTTCCTTACATATCAATACACAAATTTTTTGCCTTGATTTGTGTGTTTATTGGTTTCTTTGCATTCTGGGTTCCACCCTATAGAAGTTGCTGCACTGGTCAGCACCCCTTCCCGACCAAACCCCTGATAGTTAAGCTAGAAGATGCACTAAATACAGATATTAAATAATATGTATTCATTTCATAATAATTCACAATGCTGCAATCCCTGAGGTGGTCAAACAGGCTGTAATCTCCTGTTAACGCACAACTACAGACTGTTACACTTAGCAATTTTGGGCATCCATCAATATATTGTTGCCAAGATGCTGAGATTTTCTGTGAAAATGACATCCAAGGTTATGTTAGTGTGCCTTATTTCACACAAGCATTCTCCATCCCAAAGATCACTCAAGAGCCCCAATATTATTCACATAGACACCAACAAGGTTACTGGGTACGTACAGTTCACGGGTGTGTTTGTAAGCAGTATCTACAAGTTTCTTTGCTTCTGCGGCAGCACTAAGAATCAAATCATTGTCCAATTTCTCAGCCCCATCTAGATTATAGGGGAAAAATAAAAAGATTTATAACAGTGTGCCAGGGTATGTGATGCAGGCTTGAGACAATTTAACATTGTAAGCACACTTGAGCAGTGCCTCTTCACCTTTTGTGTCAAAATTATTTTGTATTAAATACAGGTTAAGGAACAGCGCACTCATAAACATAAAATGTTATATTTTACGAGGTTACTTAAAGTTACATATCCGAGCAAACAAATTTGGGGATTTAGTTCCACCATATGGCCATATTGTGTTAAACCCACCACTACTCCACAGTATCCCAATATCGGTGGGTCCTACACTAATTCCAACATGGGAGGCAAATTAAATAGTGTTAAATGAACTAAAGTATATTTAATTAATCTGTTGTAAGAGCATAGTGAATTTATAATAGAAAAAGAATGTGATAAAAAAAAACTATTCAAGAATTCAGTGTAATAATTGACTTTTCATTGTTCTGCATTTTCATTATTTTCAGAAAAAAATTGTCTCTTTAAAATCTACTAAGCAGTGTCCATTTAAAGTTTTTTTTTGTAATTTTGATTACAGTTCAGCACTAAATCGATTTATATATATTTTGGAGGAGAAATAATGCTTGTCATAATAAGTGACTAATATATAGTATTTAATCAATATATATCATATATATATATATTTACCATCAACAGCAGATGTAACTGCTGGTTAACAGACTTTATTTAAAATGAGAAAAAATATACAGACCTTTTAAATGTAACTTTGTTAAAATATACTAAATTATGTTTCATTTCTCAAATATTGTTCAGTTTATTTCAGAAAACAATAAAATGTTAAACAAACCTTTAAATCAGTCTGAAACCCATTTATGTAATATTGTCAGAAATTCTAAATTATTTTCAAATTTCAGGCTCAAAAATATAGCTAACCTTGACATTCTTCCGATTCGGCTAGCAACTTTTTCCTTAAATTTTACATTTATTTGATTGGTAACAATTCACACATTTCCTTTTAATATACTTTTCTGCATTAAAAAAAAGCATCAATTTACCATAGAAGGAAGCTGTACTGATGTGCGCAAGTTCTGAAATCAAAAGAAGGCCGAACACGATCTGCATGGAAGCCATCTTAGAAACAGAAGGGAAAGAGTTAAAAAAAACCTGTTCAAAATATAAAAATTGACATCCACCTTGCAAAATATAGACCAAATAGTTGAAAGGGAAAAATAACTCCAACTTGGCTATTTGGGGCTAAATTTGCAAATTGATTTTGAGTGGCCATAACTTACAAAACAAAAAGTAAACGTCTGCCACTTGTAGAGAATATTAGCAATATTTGTAGTAATTATAATAAATTGCAAAATTAGACACTTGTTCATGAACGGATAACTGTTATTTTCTAGGTAAGATTAAATGTTAAATTAATTTAAGCTTTGCAAAAAAAAAACAATCAATGTGATACTCACCGTGTCTCCTCTTGGTTTAGAGGCCCTGAGTTCAGAGTGGCTTTATAAGAGAAAGAGGGCTGATATTATGACAGAAACAAAAAATCACAAGGTTGGGTCATTTTCTGGAGAGATAGCAATTTAGGGAAGCTACAAAAGTTAATTACACCTTCGGTAACAATGAAGTTGCATTATTCCTAATTTAAATGTCATTATTTCTAGTGCCGCCCTACCATTAAGGAACTTAAAGTTAACATTAAGGTCAACATGCTTGGTACTTCCTAAATCTCTTCCACTAAACAAACAGAGGTGTTGCTGGGGGTGGGCTTACAAAATTGGAGCCCCAAGTGGCATCCTGAAATCCCTGGGTCTAAGTTTGACACCATGTCATTGAGAGTTCCAAATCTCCTGTAATATTGAAAAGAAAACTCTGATTACATCATCAGTGACCGTGCCATTTCACCATATTTGTAGTTAATTATACAGCACAGTGTGAGTGTATTGCTGTGGGTGAAGGGATAATATACCATGGCTTGAGGTTAATACACCAGGTGTGGAGTTTATATATAAGGAAAAAGAGAAAGGTGGCGCCACAGAGATAATATATAAAATAAATATAAGCAAGTAGTAATATAGAAATAAACAATGATATATAATACAGAGAGAGAATGTAGCTTTATATAATACTCAAAGTTAGACCCAGGGATTTTCAGGACTCCATTCTGGGATCCAGCCCAAGTCAGTCCTCTCAACAATTTGTATGTAGGTGCTTTGTTTTACATAGGACAGAAATGTTAAAGGAAATTTAGCCTATAATCCTCGGTTTATAATATCAGGTTTGCTCTAACATTAGGCTCTGTGTACATTTCATGCAGATGGACTCTAAACATACTGTACATCGAGTACACTGTAGCGGTATAGAAGCTTGCCATGTCCTGTATAGTACAGAAAATTGGTGTAACTGTACTTACTGCTTGTGGACATTTTGCCTACGAAGATACATCAATGATACATTTTGGCAGCATTTTTTGAAGCTGCATTCAGAGAAATTCAAACAAGTTCCGTTAAAATACAGGGTATTTGACAATTTCACACCTATTATGCATGACATCTGTGCTCCTATGCTAATATTTCAGACCCTGCCATACCATATAATCTCAAATACATTTTAACACCACAATATTTCTTTAAAATATCTTCTTGCATAATTGTATTTTTCATGTATCTCTAAAAAGCAATTTATACATTAGTGACATTTTCACCTAATTTTACCTGCTAGTTGTGCGCACCATGTTTCCAAAAACATTACATTCATAGGCTCTGGCGAAGTGCTGTCAGGACACGGAATGCGTTAGGGTTTATGGATACAGTGCCCCCCCAGCTGGGGTGTATTACATGTCTTCTCAATAACGTGATAATATTTTTGCACCAGTATCTGAGTGGATTGAGACATTTCTTCTTCATGCATCCAGCTCCTGTTCTATATATTTTAAGGAAAAGGAAAAAACGGCAAAGGTCTCTCCAATGATTCAAAGTACATTCGATGTATGTGCATTATTGGTTGCAAAATTTACCGATCTCCAGGGCAAATTTCTTTTTATTTCCAAAAATGTTACTCTTATTTTATTGAAATAAAATATATATATTTTTCATCATATTAAAATAATAATGGGTATAAGATGATTTCTCATGGATACAACTACCCATGGTGGTTTGATAATGGGCATAATTGAGATTAGAAAAAGCTACCTGTTGTATATGAAAAGCATTCAGAGCAACAAATTCTAGTTAAACATTAATCACATAGCATATTTAACATTGTGGCAATAAAATGCATTTGTAACTATTCACACAGCATCATAAAATCGAACAAGATCCATGATAATAGTTAGAAAGGGGAAATAAAGGTAATTACCACATAATAATAACATCACGGGGACTTGTTTTAATACGTAGGTCACTTGCAATCTAGAAATTAAAAATGTTATCAAGTAATATCTGGGGCTACAGGCCAAATGAAAATGTGATGATCCCTACACTAACAGAGAGGTGGGGATATAATCCCTGTATTTTTATGTTATGCCCTCTCCTCTCTAACCACGAACAGCATGCTACGAATGCGCTCTGTGATAGCGATTAAAGCATAGCTGGAAACAAGCCTAATAATGAATGTGATCCCATCATGCTACCTAACTGATAAAGGGTGTGCAGCAAAAAGTTATCTTTCCCAGCACTCAGCAGTCACCTGGGGCCCTATGATTCTAATCTTTGTGTTATAATAGGCGGCTGTTTTAAGAATCGGCTTTCTAATGTAAAATTAAAAATTACCAACAGTAGACATCTTGGGTTAAATGGCCCTACAACGGGGGTTTAACCTCCCCAGCAACACCTATGGGTGTATCTATAAAAAAAAGAGACTGATGTCAGATTTAATACCTCAAGGAATAAACCCGCTTCTCGGCTTCTGCTAAATCACAAAGACTATGTTGCACTTTCTTTTTAAATTCCTAATTTTTTTCTGTGCACAGGATAATACAGAGGTTTACGATGCCACGACAGCATAAGCATACATAACAATGTAGAGCGTATAAATGGCATGAGAAAGTGGCACAGTTTTTAAGTATTAATACACAGGCTAGTCATGTTTGTCTAAATCATGGGTCATCAACCTGATCCCTACCGCCCACTAGTGGGCGTTTCAGGATTCCATGTGGGCGGTAGGAATTTCCTCATTTTGAGAGATTGGGCGAGTGTGCGGGCGGGAAGGTACAAGCCAGCAGTAGCCGCGCTACCGGATACCACCATCACCACTTGCAGCCCGGCCCGCGCGGCAAACCGTCAGGGGCCACCGTCCAAGGGGTCCATTGGGTGGCCCATGCTGTCAGGGCCACCCGATGGATGTGGATTGTAAGGGGGCCCGGTCAGCGCTGGGTGCTTTAACAGCGCGACCAGGCCCCCTGTGATTACATCACAGAGCTGGGAGGAAGTGAGTGCACGTCACTCCTCCCAGCTAACAAACAGACCGCGTGGGAGGTAGACAAGGGAGTCAGAGTAGGAACTCTGACTCCCATCCACCTGAGCCACCACTGGACCCCAGGGAATGTCATCCTCCTGCACCTAAAAGGTAGGAAACAGGAGGGTGACTAAAATATGTGGTGTGTGTTTGTTTGTGTGTATGTGTTTTTGTATGTATGTCTTGTGTGTGCGTCTTTGTATGTATGTGTGTGTGTCTTTGTATGTATGTCTTGTGTGTCTGTTTGTATGTATGTATGTATGTGTCTTTGTATGTATGTCTTGTGTGTGTCTGTCTGTATATATGTGCGTATGTATGTGTGTCTTGTCTTTGTATGTATGTGTTGTGTGTGTGTATGTGTCTTTGTATGTATGTGTTGTGTGTGTATGTGTCTTTGTATGTATGTGTGTCTTGTCTGTCTGTAAGTGTGTATGTGTCTTTGTATGTATGTCTTATGTGTGTGTCTGTATGTATGTGTGCATGTCTGTGTGTGTGTGTCTGTATGTGTTTGTCTTGTGTGTGTGTGTGTCTGTATGTGTGCCTGTCTGTGTGTCTGTATGTATATATGTATGTGTGCCTGTCTGTTTGTATGTATGTGTCTTTGTGTATGTGTGTCTTGTGTGCGTGTGTGTGTCTGTATGTATGTGTGCCTGTCTGTTATAGTGGGCTATAGTAAGTAACAGTAAGTGGGCTACCTAGCTCAGCCTTCCTACTGGGAATTGCTATAAGGAAGGTTAAAAAAATAGAAAAAAAAGTGGGGAGGGGAATTGAGGAGGGAAAGGAGGGGAGCTCACGCACAGATGAGAAATCATATTATGAGCAAACAGAGAAGTCATCTGAATATCACAGAAAGAGGAGACCTTCATTTGTTCCTTACAAAAATTGAACCAGATATCAAATATTTAGTCTCGCAGCATCAACCTCAAGGATCTCATTAATCACTAGTAAAGGTAATTTCAATTGACTTTATTGTTTTCTCATTAAACTTTATAAAGTTAAAAACATTATAAACATGCATAAAGTAGAAATAGAAAGATAAATGTACGTACATTGATTTTTTTTAAAAAAACACCCTCCTTTCTAACAAATATTCCGCACTTGCGCGAAAACTGGTGGGCGGTAAGGAAATTTTTCCATCAAGAAAGATGCATTAGTGGGCGGTAGGAAGAAAAAGGTTGACTACCACTGGTCTAAATAGAAGTCACAGAGGTGAAAATAGATGCAGGCATAAAATAAGTAACTATAAGGACCTCGCTTATTACGTGTTAGCACGGTAACAAGATTAATAGGCAAGATTAAAATTATGGTGGCATATACACAGCATGTTCATTTTGTTTAGTCATATTAGCTGGGCTAGTGAGCTCAATATAACCAGTGAATAACCAATAGGAAATCATAGTTAAAGTAGGTTGGGTGAGAAAGGAAGCATTTGTATCGGAATATGGTAGTGTCGCTTTTAGATCTTTAAAAAAAGAGTGCTTATACCTGGTAAGCAATGCTAGACAAAACAGCAGTGTTATAGCTGCTGTTTTCTTTCTCTCCCGCACCATCTCCATCAGATACATGACGCTTGGGAGTGTTACTGTTTTTGGTCGATATAATTCTGTAATTAGGCCCGTCATAATTGTCAGCACCAGGCCCACTGGGCTCTTAATCTGGCCCTGGGTACAT